AATTTCATTATTTTCCTCTATTTCATTTGAATTTGTATTTTAAACGTGAAGAACAAAGAACTCCACACTCCCAAGATTTGGGGCTTGTGCCACGTCTGGTCCTGGTCTTGATGCATGGAGATAGATTGAATTAATCAAACTTCTTCACACTGCTATTTAATCGGGTTTACAATTAGCTGAGGGCTGCAGGTCTCCCGGGCCTATGAGCTTTGCGAGCAGAAGCTGTAATACAGCAGCTCTGCAGCCACACACTGGGAGTGCCTTACAGACCAGATTGTCATAATGTGGCATGAAATTAAAGCGTGATGTTTCTTGACAACAGAATTCCAATTTCTCCCTTCTCCCCCCCCCCTTTTTTCTCTTTAACAAAGTCTCTACCTAGAGATAGGCCTCCCTGTTTTGTCACATCCACCTGCTCTAAGCTACACAGCTGCCTTCAAAAGAGTTTCTGATACTATTAAACCAATCTGTGTTCCATTACAGTCGTTCTGATATTCTTCCCTGTCTGCTTTCAATGGCAGATTATTTTGCTGTGAGGAGCTAATAAGCATACAGCTCTTAACTTGTTTCAATTCTCACTCAAATGTAGTGATTTCATCTCTTCTGCTCCTCTCAACAACACAGAGGGGTTTTGCTGATGTGTGTTCACCCCAAACCTACCTGCACAGCTCTGTCAAACCTCCTCAAACCCACTTCCATTCAGATGAGAAACCGCAGAGGAGTGGAGAGTCTGGGCTGTTTTTTCTGCCATCACATCTCATCTGTCAAGAAGCACAGTTAGGAAATGGGATTTATAATTCCCCCTCCCACAAGGAAGTCAGGAGCTTGTGAACACCACCACCACCAATTAATTACCTGTGTTGATGCTTTTCTGTTCTTCAGGAAACCTGTCATAGGGAGAATTGAAAAGAAGAACATAATGAACCCAGAAGACTTGGCTGGAAAGAGGTGAGGAGCAGGTCAAGTTGGTAATGGAGGATGTAATTCCCTCCTTGAACTGACCTGGAATCTAATCTAATTCAATGTACACCTTGGAAATCAGTGGGTAGAGGATGAAGCATTCCCTGCAGTTAAATAGAAAAGGTTGGGTGTATGTTCCTGATGGTGAGATTTGACTGTGGAATAAGCTCTCAAGCTGTAACACTTGAAGGTGCTGGAGTTACACTGGGCAAGGAGAATCACGCTGTAGGTTAAGAAGCCTACAGTGCTGTAGATGGGGACCTACCCCTGGTCCTGCTGAAGGGAATGAGGGAGGCTCCTGCAGAAACAAGGTCTGGCCTTTGTTGATGCAGTTTGGTTTCTGTGGACCACACTCACTGGTTTCTTATGGCTTCTCTATGTCTGGGGTGAGATCAGACCCATGGGTGGCCTGGCCCTCCAATCCACAGTGATGGATTCTGTGCTTGTTTGCACCTCTGAATTAAAAAGTGTTTAAATTCTATCTCTTCTAATACCAGTGACTGAACCAAAAACCAAACTGTATGCACAGAACAACCCCTGTAGCTGAGTGGCAGAGGTGAGATTCTTGCAAAACAGACATAATGATGTCTTCTGCATTCCCTTTAACTGTACCTGCCACCTGAAACGGCACAGAGCTACAGTTGTGAGAGTTATTTGGACATACTTAATCAGAGTAACTTCCACTTAGTTATCAAACATGGGAGCAAAATGAGCTTTGCTTATAAAAAAAACCAAACTCCGTAAACCTCTGTCCCCCATTGCTCTCCCTTCCTTTTTTCTTCCTGCACAGCACTGAGCATCTCCCAAGGATTATGGGATTATTCAGAAGATTGACTCTGCTCCCATTGAAGGTGATTACATCCCCCATGCTGAAATCCACAAAAGCACAATCAAGTACACAACCAAGGTAGTTTTAAGCATTTGCATCTTACACAGGTTGGCCTGCAAAGCACCTGTAGTTTTTCTGGCTGATAGGAACCCTTTGTGGGCATAGGGGGTAAGGGAAAAATCAGTGAACCTTAAAAAGCAACAGAAAAAAAAGAGAGCATTTTTTCTGATTGAGAAAAATCAAGTTTAATGAACTGAGGTGGAATCATTTCCTCAATTTGCTTGGGCATTTGGAGTGCAAAGCACAGTGTAACCTCTGCTTGCAAATCGCTGTAAACATTTCACTTGCTTCCTAATTCATGGGAAATGGAACAGAAGCTGGACTATGGAATACTAATCAAAGATCTCTCCTTGGAAGTCAGACCCTTTGTCTTCTCTTAGGTTTTGGGGCCTGAATGTCTAAGACTTTACAGATTTTTTTATATATATATATCTGAATGAATATTTATGAAGAGCTTGCTAGTGACAGACCAGGCTGGCCCTGCAGGCCCAGAGGAATTAATGTAAATTCCAGTCAACCATGAAAACCCACTAGAATTGAACTGTATTTCAGCATGGTGGATAAAGCACATCAAAGAGCAGAATTTCTATAAGATAATTACACACAATGCAACTCTAATCACAGAAAGACTGTGGATATTGCTGATAAAGCGTAATAAATCTTTTATGACTACGCCTTGTTCTGCTGAATCAGCTTTCTGGTTCTGTTGCCCTGAACTCTGCATTCTGGCTCTTATTTATATATTTACAATTGTAAAAAACCCCTCAACTAAGGATTTCCTGCAGCAGTGAAAGGTTTGAGCTTATTTGATTGGTTTGTTATTGCACTTGTTGAATTGCAGTTACATCAACAACAGCGAATGCTCATCTCTGCTGTCTGGCAAGTGGGCAGGAACAAATTGTCTCTAAGCTGAGGAGCCACCTTTCTGCTGCAGTTGAAGAAATGGGAATAATTTCAGCTTTGACACTTTGAAGCGTTTGGAATTTAGGCTCCTTCCCTCATGTTTGACAGCACCACGAGTTCATCTCACAGGCTCACAGAAGGGTTGAGCTGGCAAAGGCCTGTGGAGATCGTTTAGTCCAAACCCCTTGCTCAAGCAGGGCCACGTAGTCCTGAGGACCATGCCTGCTTGGATGTCTCCAAGGATGGAGACTCCACAATCCCTCTGAGCAGCTGTTTCCATACTTTACCCTCATTTTTTCCTCCATATATTTAAACAGATTTTCTTGTGCCTCTTGTCCTTGCAGTGGATACCAAGAGTCTGGCTCTTTCCCAGCTTCCCCCAGCTGCTGTCCCTTTACACACAAGTGTAAGCCTCAGGAATGAGCAAGCCCTAGCATGGTACGGGTTCTGAGCAGCAATAATCTGTGCAGAGGTAAGTCTTGGTGCTGACAACACCCATAGGGGAAATGGAAACACAGAGTCTGCGGTCACTGACTATTTCTGACTGTTCTTGTGACTCACTTGACTTGCTTGTACATCAAAGCATCATCTGAGCACCAGCAGACACATTTATGGCAGGTATCTTTCCTGTGCCTTAATCAAGAAGCAAAACTTTGCCTCCTTCATGTGAGCTTTGCCCTTCATTTGTCTTTCTGGCATATGGGCAGCAGAAGGTCCCTGCTTCTGACAGAGTGAAAGAATTTTACATATGGTTTAATTACAGTAAATTATCAGCAAAGGGAAGAGTTTGCAAGAGGACAGCTGAATCCCACTCATGGGTTCAGTGAATGTCGGCCCAGGACCCCAGTGCTGTGCCATGTCTCACAGTGACACTGCTCCAGCCCCGAGGACAACTGTTCTGAGACAAGTCCATCCCTTGGTGTCTCTCCATGCTGGGAACCTTTCTGGGAATGACAGCATGGGGAATGTGTGGCTTCTCAGTCTGTTGTCTCAGCTTTGTGCTCTGGGAGAGGAATTTGACAACAGGATCAGTGTTTCCTAATTCCAGATTCATGCTCTCTTCTAATTCTCTTCTCTTCTCTGGCTGTTGTCTTCTTTAAATGTATGGTGAATCTGAACATGAACTGATACATCCTTTGGCAAGTAGCTGGATATTCTCTTTCACATCTGTTGTGCTCCCCTAATCTCGTCAACACATGAATGTTACTCAAGTTATACTTAAGGCTTTCCACAGCTCTTGTGAGTTCGCCATCACTTCAGAGCCTTATTTATATTAGTAACATCACCCTGGTTGTCACCCAATGGGAAGTGCTTTTGTATGCAATCCTCCAAGCGGACATGAAAGACCATGTCAGGACAACGGAGGGGTGCAGAAGTTGCTCTTCCTTTGCCTGATTTACATCGTTTGTTTGAAAGCGTGTCCCTCCTGTGATGGTCTGCAGTGAATAAACAAAGTTCCTGGGGAAATGGTATGCGGTGTTCAAACACTTTGCTGAACTTTCATGTTCTGTGAGTTGTAAGGAAGTGACTACAAAAGCCTTGGAAGAGCAAAGGAAGAGAGTTAGCTCAAGGCAAGGTGATATTCCCTCATTAAAATCTATTTGTGCAAAGTTAAGACGTCAAAGAAATTTCACGTGTTCCAAGAGGGTATGAAAGCCCATGTTATTAGTGATCAGAAGGGAGTCCTATTTGCTGAAGAGGAGGGGTGTAGTGAAAGAAGGGGGAAGAAAAAAAGAGGAAAAATAAATGTATTTGAGCATTTAATGTTATCTGAAAAGAATAATAAATTCAACTGCCTTAAAACAACAACTTCTGGTACCCAAGTGTGGATCACAGAAGGTATTTTTAAGGAAAAAAAGGTCTTCACAATATGGGCTGAGATTCCACATGAGGCTCATCAAGCCACGCTGCTGCACACGCAGACACCCACAGTCCAGCTCCAAGGGCAGCCAGCCTTCTACCACTTCACCCGATTCTATGGAAGGTGAATGAGGTTTAAGACCATGTTATTAACCCTTCGATTATCCAGATGTTTGCCTGTGTGGATGGTGTGTGCCCCAGAACCCTGGGATCACAGGCAGGGTTAGGATATTTAACCTTAAAGCCGGCGCTTCCTTGATTTTCACAGCTCAGTGATGACAGCATCAGGGTTTTTTACAACCCAAAGACCAAACAGTCCTTGAGTGCAAAATCTTTGGTGATTTTAGGGGTTTGACCCTTTAAACAGAGGGGTTTGGCCAGAATCAGTGATTCAAAGCTGCCTGAGCAGAGACTGTGGCAAGGAATGCTTGTGGCAAGCCTGCTCCTCACTGCTAGTGAGTAGAGGGGGAAATGAAACTGGTCCTTTGATCTGCACATCATGGTGTATTTGCCATCTGCAACAGTGGGAAAAGCTGCTATAAATACTAGTCTGAAGTACTAATAATCCTGCCTCCAGGCAAAATAGCTTTGGCTGCTGGTGGGGCATGCAAGTGAGCCAGACTGCAAAATTTAACAGCATTCACTGTGCCAGCAGTGACCTTTTCCTGTGCCTCTTTCCAAGTGCCATGTACTCAACAGGATGTGCTGGGGGACCTGCTTGGGAAACTCACAGAGTGCCTCAGTGTTGCGGTGGGGAGAGGGTGGCAGCAGATGGGGTTGCAGTAGCACACACAAGAATGGAGTTAGGAGAGCTTAGCTTATGACCCTCAGGAGCCCTGCTCCATGAGTGGTAACTGCTGAGGATGTGCATAGTGCTCATTGCATGCTTTTTTCTTCCTCTTTCCCTGAGAAATCAGCAGAAATCTCCTATCTCTGTCTGGGCTGGCCTGTCCATCTGTTCTGATGGCTTCTTTTATCACCAGCAGCCATGTGAAGAATGATCACATTAAAAGGTAAGGCTCTCTTTTTGTGCTGCTAGTAGACAAGGCCCTCCCCCAAGTTTGCATTAATGGAGAGTGGTGACGTGGCCATGCGCTGATTGCATTTGCTAATGTTAATCACCAAGGGGCCAGGCGAGGTGAAGAAGTGAGCTATATTTTATTCAGTTTGACAGAAGGAGGAGTTGAATGGAAATCATTTTTATCTCTGGTTGTGAACGACCTAAATTAATGCTACCTCTGGCGCTGAAAGGCTCAGGAGAGCAGATGTCTGTATTTTATATGCTCTCCTTGGTAGGGGTACCAAAGCACACGTCAGGCTGTGCATTAACTTAGGGACAAAGCTGATCCATGTCCCTGGTTGCATGGGCTGTGCAGCCGGGAAGGTGAGGACGTAAGGAATGAAGTCATGGTTTGGTTTTGCCATCTTGAAACAAAGGACAGGTCACTAGAGCTGGATTTCAAGTGCTGGAGGAGTGGATGGCAGGTCCTTTACCATGACACACACAGTGGGAAAGCAAGGAGGGAAGATGCTTTAGTAACTCTTTAGCAGAACACTGATTAATTGTTGAGCACCTGTGACTATGAGGCCCATCCTGCTAGGAGTGGCAGGAGTAACCCTAACCCTAACCCTAACCCTCAGCAGCCTCCTCAGACAAAACCAACACCGACCAGGTTGAGGGCTGCATGTTGGGCTGCTCTCCAGACTCACCCAAACCTTGCAGTCTAAATAATACTGAAAGCTTTCAAGGCTTAAATAGGGGGTAAGGTATTGCAGAGGATAGATACTGCTGCTGCTGTGCCCAGGTGGGAGAGAAGTTACTAGAAGCCTGGCAAGGACCTTGTTTCTAACTTCGCTGTTGTGAGTTCCTTGCCAGTGGATCCAGGGTGCTGCTTGCCCAAGCAAGCAGGAGAATGGCCAACCTTGGCAGTACCCAGGCACCAGAAACCCTTTCCTGCCTTGCATCTCACATGTTTTTCTTAGGAAAGCATTTTACATTTGCATCTTGAAGCTTGCATTTACTTCTCAGAAAAAGAAACACTGTGCTAATGATAGGTGAAAACAGAGCAGTGACTGGAATGGGAGAGGATAGAAGAGGCTTGATGAAATCTACCCATTGAATGAAAGAGAGATGGGCAGGGGAGCGAATGGGGAAGCAAATGTGATAACTGGCAGAGCGTGGTGAGCAGCGCCACCCACCCAGCTATGGGTAGGATGCTGGGAGCCAAGGCAAGAGGCACTGTGAGCACATTTCTATTTCTTTATTCTCTGTATCGTGCTCCTCTTCTCATTTCAGGGTCTGATCAAGTCTGACTATCATCACCCCTCTTTGCTCTATAGACACCTATTAATGTTGACAGTTTAGGTGGCTGGGGGATGTGGTATTAGTACTGACAAATGCTGGTAATTTGCAGGCAATGTTTTCCCTCTAGCACCAGTGGGAAATCACCTAACCTTTGCCAATAATTCTCAACATAACTCACAAAACCTCATCTTCCATCATTATGAGGAGCGGCGTTTCTGAATATTATCAGCTGCTTCTTGTATGCCTCCATGCTAGACTATACAGAGGAGGTGATATTAATCAGTGTGTGAGGCCCACTGTAGTATGAAGGATTCTCTTGCAAGATCTTTTTACCATATGCTCTCTGATATTAAGCTTACCTCATTATGCTTTCAGATCTCTTATTTTTTTTTTGTCGACCTGTCACTTGGCTTTAACTATTTTTTTAGCTGGTGTTATTATATCATTCTCTTTTTAAGCCATAATTTGCTTAACATGGCCATGGAGAGCACTTGTATATGTTCATGCTTTAAACCAACACTGATTCATCAATAACTGGTGGACTGGTGTAACTGGCACAGCTCTGAAGGCTGCAATGGGGACACTGAGCTAAGTGTGACCGGCCATCCACACACTGAAGCAGAAGTAAAAGATTTTCACAAGTGCTGAGTTTAGAGCAGCTTCTTTGCAGCACACATTGAGCTGTTGGCCATTGGAGTGTCTGGCAAATCTTGCCTTAATTTTTCCAAAGGAGAATATACAAAGAAATGGCACTGATTGATAAGAAACATCCTGGCATTGAGCTAAGCCGCGGAACCTCCTGAGTTCAACTGCAGCCCAATCTTATTTTGCAGGGGCTGAAGCCAAGCAATGCTGATAGCAACTGTCTTTAAAGTGAAATTAAAATGTAATGAGGGTGGGAGGCAGGGACAAGCTAGCATGGACCATCTGAGCTGTTGCAATTCTAGAATTCATCAGTGCCGCTGAGAGCGGCGAGCGGCTGGTGCGTTATTGATGCAGGGGGAGAGGCAGGTTATTGCATTATTGACATACAGTAGGTGGAGAAAGATTACCATGTTAGCAGCGCTACAAGAAGAGAGATTATCCAAATGCAATAAGCCATTGTTACAGCAATGACATTTTTCCACACCTCCCCCCTCTTCTTATCCCGTCCTTTCCACCTCCTGCCTGCATAATATGAAAGGTCAGTAATATCCAGACAGATGGTTGGGAGGGTTTATGGAAAGGGGCTGCTTTCTTTGGTCATTTTTTCTGAAATGGTGATTGTGCTCAGAAAGGAAAAAAAGAAAGAGAAAGCATTTGGGTTTTCTGACTGGGATTAACTCATCCGAATGCTATACTAGGCAAGAGAGAATTTGGGTTAGGAGATTGTCCCTTTCACTGACATCTGTGCTACTCTACGTGACAGCTCTGAGAGGCACGGCTGCATCGTAGGCACTGGAATAACCAGGGGATAAATGCCACTGGATTTGGGCTCTTTATGTAATAGATAACTTTACTAAATGCTATTTTGCTGTAAAAAAGGGGCTGTAAACTTTTTGAGGAGGGTCTCTGCCATGTGTTGATCCTCAAAGGACTCCGCTTCCTCATTGAGAGAGTGTTTATCTCTCAGGTTCACTTGTTTTGTTTCTCGTTGAAACCTGTCTCCTCTTATATCAGTTCCCTGGATTCAGTTCTGTCTTCATCTGGAGCTGCTTGTTTGCTCTTATTATACATAATTGAGTAAAATCATTACCCACTGCAGAGAAAGTGACTCACTGTGTAAAATAGCCTCCCTAGAAAAAGCATCAAGCTGTGCTCATGGGTCAGCTCTGCAGTTCAGAGAAGTTCATGCCAAGATTCCCCATCCATGGCTGTGAGCTCTGGAGCTGGCCTGAAAGTGATCAGCTCATATCCTCTTGGATTTAATTGGGTTACAGGGGTGACTTCTGATCCCTGATCCCCAGGGAAGGAGCCGCAAAGATTGCCGCGTCTGCAGCAATCTCATCTGCCCGTGGCTGCAGTCAGGGAGAGAAGAATGGCTGCTTAATCAGAAGCACAATCTAAAAATGTCACATTATTATTTATGAAGTGTTTAATAATCACACCACAATCATCGGATGCACTGAGGTGGAAAACGAAAATGTAATTTTTCATATAATATATACGAATTCTGTTATTTTGGGAGGAAAAAACCCCACCACCCTAAGTAAATTTTCTTCTAATTTGAAGAATAGAGTTTGTGCTCGTCTTGCAGCAACGCTTCATTTACGTGAGGATCAGAAGTCACACACAGCTGGGGCAGTCCTGAATTTAGCAGCCCGGATCAGCTAGCTGTGCCCTTCTGCTCTCCCCATCCATCACTCATTGCTGGTATAAAACCCTGCAAAGCTCCTTCGTCGCTGAGCATCGCAGCCCAGGCACTGGATTGTCTCTGAGCAGCACACTGAGAAGTTCAAACCTGGTACTGTCTGTGAATACTAACAACAATCTACAGCTTTTAGATAAAGCTATAGTATAATGGTGTTTCCAGCTGGGATAGAGAAACAGCTCTCCCATAAGACACACTGATGGAGGGGTGGCTGAAGGGCAAACTGCTTTTGGATAGCTGTAGGGATCGAAACCAGGCGGGTACATGGAGCATCTCTGCTATGGGCATGATGCTGGAAAACGTGATAGGTCTCATGAGAAGGGCAAGCAGGCCACTGAGGAAGAAAAAGGAATATGGAGTGTTTCTTTCCAGACAGAAATGAATCTGAAAGAATGAATTGGTCTAATTTATTATTAGATGTGTCTGGTTTCACCTGTACGTTTCACTGAACATCTTTTCCATCTTTATGTCTTTCCCTTTGTGACCACGGAAGTATTTTGTAGAAGAACTTCAGATTAAAAACTTAAACCCTGATCTCATCCTTTCTTTCCAGCGTGCCCTTTTCTTCAGCGATGTCTTGCTTCACCTTTGTATTTTCAGATCGCGGCTCTTAGATGGAGTTGAGCAGAGCTGCTCCGTGTCCTGTTGCAGGGGAAGGGGCTTCAGAGCACATTATTCCTCCAAGGCTGATTGATGCCTTTTGCTGCCTCCTCGTTTGTGTGCCAGCATGATCAGCAGTGGAACACAGCCGAGGGGATGGCAGAGCCCAGGCATGCAGCCCTGCTCAGGAATTTGTGCTCCCTCTGTTGGCTGTTTGGCTCTGGAGCAGTGGAGTTCGAGCTGAACGCTATTGGGTTATGTCAGGCAGAAAGAGTTTCTCTACTTCTAATTGCCTGCTGGCCAGCAAGGCAGTTTTGGAGGGCACTGTCAAAATAAAGGGTCTATTGCTTCAAGAATATGACTACCCAGCTGCTTCTGAATCTGGTTGTGGATAACTCATTGAAACGCTTCAGTCTATGTGGGAGGAACAACACAAAGCTGAGGTCTTTGTAAATCTGAGCAGCTTCAGGTGCACTCCAGCTCATCCCTAGGGCAAAGAACCTTCCTGACATGGGGGGCAGGCATGACCCCAGATCTGTCATCTGTGCCTTGGGCCTGGTTGTGGTGCAAAGCCTTGTGCCTCTGCAGTGATGCTCTCAGCTCAACCACAGCTTCCCCCACAGACGCAGCAGCATTGGGTCCACATCTGTCCTCATACTCTGCTCCTAACCCACCCCATGGGTGTATAAGTGATGGCATGGGGAGGAAGACAGCACAGCCCCATCCAGACATATATTTCACATAGCTTCCCATGTATC